AAATACAATTTAAAAAAAATTAAATTACCAGAAATAAATATGGTCAGAAGGTTCTAAGATCAGCTCAAGCTGTTCTTCCTCAAAGGCCTGCAAATGTAATCTAAACTAATGTAATAGGGTGTAACACATGTATATAATAAACAGAACTAAAACAAACAAAAAAAAGTGCTATGGACCGTTTGCATCGCTGGTCATCAAGAAACAAAAGACTTTTATTTTTTTAAGGAAAGGTAATAACGACGAGCGGTGCCGATGGATCCTAGTAATTTATATAAACCAAATAAAATTAAATTACAAACTTACAAATTTGTGCATTGATCATCGTATAATATTTTAAACATTTTGTTTTAAATGATGCTATGGATAAATTAATTAGGGAAACAGGAATATTATTATACTCCTTTGCTATCTGGTATGAAAACGAGTTTTTAAATTGTTGTTTGGTGTTTTGGAATCTCAATAGAATTTTTTTTTCGTGTATTTCTACTATGAACATCAGAACGATAAATAATTTTATTCCAAATATATGGAGGACTTTTTTTAATTAAAATTTTGTGAAACAGGGTTAATGAATGAGGTTTTCTCCTGTTTAATATATTTAACCATCTGGCATTTGCTAGTGTATGGGAAATTCTGTCAAATTTTTTAATTCCATATATAAGTCAAAGGCAGGCATTTTGTAGTTTTTGTAACCTATTTGAATCTGTTACTGAAAGACAAGGTCCATATACAAAATTTGCACTACTTAGAACGAGAGAGTCACAGAGTTGTATCTTTAGTTTTTTGTCAAATAAATGTCTGCTAAGATATAAAGTTTTTAGTTTAAAAAAGGATCTTTGTAGAACATAAGAAACATGATCTGTGAATTTCAGTCGATTGACGTGTGTCTTTTTATCCAACTGTTGCAGCAACGTTGGCATCGGTGCGGTATGTCAACTGTTATTTATTTCAACGGTCAACCAGAATCCAACACAAAACGTTCAAGGCCGCATCGGTGAAACAACGGTTGCAACAAACCGGTGGAAAAAAAGACACACATTTGTCTAGCATTATCCCCAAATTTTTGCTTTTTGAACAGTTGGTAGAGCCACATCGTTAATTTTTATAGACACGTTAGAAGAAGCAGATCCAAAAAATATAACAGCTGATTTTTCTGAATTAATCACCAAATTATGTTGGATAGATACTTTCACCAAGGCATTTGAGATCAGTATTTATTTTCTGAATGCACTCTGATTCATCGTTTTTGTTAAAAAAACATATATAACTGCGTATCGTCAGCATGCATATGAGCTTTGCAATATTGTAAAACCGAACACAAATTGTTCGTATATATTGTATAAAAGAGGGCCTAGGATTGAACCTTGGGCTACTCCTCGCCCAACTTGCTCTACGCTAGACGATACACCATTATATAATACTTTCTGTGTTCTTCCCGACAGATAGTTTCTAAGAAATGTTATTGCGGTTGGTCCTAGGCCAATATAATTCAAAATGGATAAAAACAATTCGTGATTAATCATGTCGAATGCTTTACTATAATCAAGCAGAATTAATAAACCAACATTTCTGGCGTCAGACTCCTTCAGAAAGTCATCCGTAATATTTAATAGGGCCGTACCACAGCTATATCCCGATCTAAATCCTGATTGTGTGGGTGGTAGGATTTTATATTTATCAATGTGTTCTCGAAGTTGTTCCTCTACAACTCTCTCTTGTATATTTATTTCCCATGCGCGTGGAATAAAGCAAATGTTTATAAATTTTTTAAAATTTGTTTTTAGCCGCATTATACAAATAGTGACAAAATTAGAAGCAGTTTTGCGTATACTTCTAGCTTGTTTCCATGTAATATTTTCTCATTTGCTTCTTAGTCTCTTTTTCAATTAAGTCTATTTCCAGATAAGTTTTTTGTTATTCTTTTAAAAATATTTTTGTTTTATTTTGATACTCCTCATCATTTAAATCGGGTATTATATTCTCATAGTCAAGAAGACCATATTCTTTATCTGGTAAGGCATTTTTTTTTATCGTCAGTTATACGAGTTATATCATGTCGTGATAACTACAAGCCTTTAAATAAAATCAAAACTGTCATATAACAATAAAGAAAAATTTTATTAACCGACATGCGTGAATTTTTCTATACCATAATTTAGCATTTTTTGCTATAACATGACATGATATCTGCGCAATTGATCATTATCTTATTATGATTTAATGAGTGCTATATTAAATTTAATTAGGACTGTGGGCCATATGGATCTGTGGTGGATATCCTTTAATCGTTGTTTAGAGTACCTTGTCTAATTCGGTCGTTTGTAGTAGACTCCTTAGACAAGGAAGTAATCCTCCGACGTAGCTAGTTGCCCTTGATTTTTCTTCTCAAAGTGTAAGGAATCTCATTCTGGCCAGACCTTCGCAGTAACACAATAATGTTCTGCAGTTTCCTCATCTTGACAGAATCGGCACAAGGTCTCTTCTGTCAGACCGATATTATACATATGTTTGATAAACCTACAATGCCCTGTTAATAGATCTACTAGTACTCTAGTATTTTTCCTATTAAAGCTTAGTAGATGGTCGGTAAGTTTAGGATGGTCCTTTTAAAAACTATTTGACCTGTTTCTGTCCTGATGAATTTTCAACCACTCCTGAGATTATCCAAACATACACTGCTTTGTGCATGTTCTGATAGTTGTCTTTTTGACGCCACAAAAGGGTTTTGGGCCAATAAGAGCCTTTGAAGCTCCTTGTCGGGCTAGTAAATCAGCCTCTTCATTGCTCTTATATCCTCTGTGGCCTGGTACCCAGGCTAAGGTTAGTCTGTTTTGACTATCCATCTCTGTTTGGGCTTCCAAACAGTCCCACACAAGCTTTGAGTGTACTTGCAGAGAACTGAGTACTTTTAACGTCGCTTGACCGTCTGAGTATATGACAATGATTTTTCCTTCTGTCTTAATACCTCTTTTGCGCAGTGATGTATTGCTGCTATTTCTGCCTGGAATACTGTCGCATGTTTACCTAAACTCAGTGAGATTCTTGCCTTTGGCTTGGTACTATATATAAACCTACTCCTTAACTTTCATGCTTTTTGGAGCCGCCCGTATACCAGGTGAATTCTGCATGAATAGGAGGTGCTCTCGTCCACGCTTCCCTCTCTGGTATACTCACTTTATATTGCTTTAGGGCATTTTGTCTAAAGGCATTCCCATTATTTGGTCTTTCTCCAACTCTTTATATAGCTCACTGTAGTCACGTCCATGCAAACTGCTTATGGGCAATGGATCTTTGTGCAGTCTGTATGTGACTGATCTGGCTTAGCCTTAAAGAAATATATGTAGTGGTGTTAGGTTTAGCATGACTTCTATAGCTGCTGTTGGAATCGTTCTCATGGCTCCTCCCGTGCTTGCCTTTGAATACCATTGAGCTGTCGAATGGCTCCAGCTTGCCGAGTCTTTGGCGACCATACCACCGACTCTTAGGTTATTATCGGCCTTGTGGCTTTGGTGTATAGCCATAGAGATATTTTCAGTTGTAGTCCCCGACAGCAGTTAAAGGACGTCTTTTGGGTGACTTTGCAATTGTTGATTCCATGTTAACCTGTAGTATGCGTGCTATGGTAAATAATTCATAATTATTAAGGGACGTGCATGGTTCGTAGACAATTCAATAGTTGAATTTGTCTTTAGCATTTTGGTTCTAGAAACTGTTAGATCAAACAATTTTATATTGTTTTTACATGCAATAAAAATACCACAGTAAGGATACTTACACTTTTAAATTATCGGATGTGACAGTAAGCTTCTAAACCTAATTTTCGTTTTGAAGGAAAACTGTATTTTTTATTTCTCATATTTATATTATTAAACACACTATCACCAACAACGATGACAAAATTTGTTTTTAAACTCTGTCACTCTCTTGGAAATGAAAATACTATCTATTTATATATGAACTAATAGAAATGTAAAATTAATGTGTTTGTGAGACATATTCAATATTATTCGCAACAATAAAAACTAATTAATATAAACAATGTGCAATTCTAGCAACCAAAATGAATTACAAAAGCATATTTAATAAATTTAACTTGATTTTCAAAAAATAAACTTATAATTAACAAGTAAAAATATAATTTCTACTGAGATATTTTTTTAATGACATTTTTTAACTCACCGCTGTTTACAGCCAGACACTTGTAGATAGTTCAAGATATAGGAATATTGCGTGCGGTGATAATTAATCGAATACTATTTTATACAGGATGTCCCGCAATTAAAATAACATTTTTAAATGGAATTTTAAAATGTTACAAATCTGACGGTCTATTATTATAATAATGTGTTTGTACTAACTATATTTTCATTTAAAAAAACTGTTATTTGAAAATCTATAAATGTCTCAATTATAATACTAGACGGATAAAAAATAAGTAATTAGTTATTCTATTTAATCATTCATCAAAAGATTGTTTAAAAAATAAACATTACCTACTTTATGGATTGAATTTCCAATCTTTAAAAAAGTGTAAAAAGCAGTGTCGTTATTTAGTTTTAGAAATAAAATTAAAATTATCATTATTATTATTATTAATTGTTTATAATAATGGCATAGTTTCAAAATGTTTTATGGTTTCAGCTTTTTAATAATTGTTGCAAATACACAACGCTGGATTTGGGTGCATAAAATAACTAAAATTTGTATTAATTTTAACTTATAATTCGTTGGCTTACAAGCAAAAGTCATTAAGTCAAAAAATAGGTTTATGAGTTATAAGCAATTTAAAGTTTCAATGAAGTTCTATTTTTTTTATAAACTATTTATGGATTATCAGCTGCTTTGAAGAAAATGTACATGCTTTCGTAATACAATGTACTGTTTTTAAATGATAAACAAATTTTTGACTTAGTGTCTTTTGCTTGTAAACCCACGAATTTTTATAATTAATATCTACAAAGATGTAAAATATTTTCATGAATAATTATTTAAATTTGTAGGCCGCATGGGTGAAATCAGACATTCGGATAGTACCACAAATGCGACGACTGGATCATCACCTAAAATAACTATTACTTTCCGGGAATTGCACAATTCTTACGGAAGGCCAATTTTAAAGGATTATAATTTTTGGAAGTATGAACAGAAGGAAAAGGTTGAGAATGCCTCAGAAAACCTTATTACCTTTTAAAATATAAAGCTAATTAGTACTTAATTAGAGATACATACAAGAGGAATAAACTGTATTGTAATTTTCCAATCCATTCAGTCCAAATACAGCTGACGAATTTATTTTCAAAACAATCTACTGAGCTGCTGGTTTTTAACTAGTTTGTGAAATAACCAAAACAAGACTTAAATTAGTAATATTATTAATTTTGTATTTATTTATAGCACTGCATATATTATCTAAGGTCCATTCCGAAATTCTATATACTTTTTATTATTTTACTCATTGATTTATGTAGGTGTTGCTTCTCAGAGCTACTTTAGGGACAACATTCCTGATTAGGACAACACAACGGTGAATGACCGAGTGAGTAATTATGAATTAGAATTATTTATAATTAATTATAAATCAGAAACGATCCCGGACGTAATCTGGGAAACATAGCCACCATTTATAACCACCATGTGCCCCTGAGAAATATAATTGAAATCAAGAATATTTTTTTGAAATATCTGTTCGAGTTGTATTTATTGGGACATTGATGGAAAACTCTTGTTCTTGTTGTATCTCTAGGAATGATTTATTTATTAATGACTTGTTATAGTTTTTGGTGAAACTAAAGACTGCCTTTTATATTGGAATGTTTTTATGTGAATGCTTGTAATAATTAAAAAAAAATGTTTTAATTGATCGTTCCCTTACAAATGTGCCTATGCTTGAACTTGTGAAAGAAAGAGAAATATTAAGTGAAAATAGTCATTTTCTACTCCCATGTAAAAATTCGTATTGAAATCGAATTCACTTTGGTACAGATTCAGCTTCCATAAGTTTCTTTTATTTTTAGGTAGACAAATAATGAGTGAATTCAGTTTAAGGCAGTCAAAGACGCCTAAAATTTAAACAAAATTCTCATCTTATTATTCTTATCAGGAATCCCTGGAATTTAGTGAGGTAAGTTGGGGTAATTGCGTGGTAAAATTTGAACAGTTCATCTTTAGGTCTCCACTGTGTTAGTATTTCACTTCGAAAAAATCTGAAACCTACTGGGTATATTCTTTGCAATGTAATTTATTATTTTTGTTAAATAAAATAATTTTCTTTATTTCTCTTACCAGTTTTTATATTATTTTTTTAAAATGATGTCAATAAATCACATTTGCCCCATGATTTGGGGTAAATGTGATAACGTCGTCCAAGCGCTTATTGCGATTGGTTAGGTAGCATTATTATTATTATTATTATTACAATAAGGGCAGAGGACGGTGTCCTATTGTGCCCAGTAAAAAAGAGCAAATTAATTAACCTAAAAACTATTAAATCAAGAAATGATTTTAAAATAAATCTAAAGACTAAATACAAGTATATGTAGTTACAAAATTAAATTCGAAAATGAGCTACATGCAAATGTAGTTCGAACATTGTTCAGATGGTAAATCCAAAAATATATCATAATTATGAATTGTGAAAAATATGCCTGTCTATATTGTTTTTGTAAATATTGACACTTTGGGAATCTATAATTTCTTGGGGCAGGTTGTTCCAGACTTCGAAGATTCTGTTACTCAGAAAATGTCTCGTTCTTGTTTTGAAGTTTTCTTTCTGAATTTTCAGCGAATGTCCACGAAGTCGGGTATCAGTATTTAGAGGAAAAGCTTGATTAAGGTCGCCAAAGTTATGTTTTATTATTCGAAACGACAAAATTAGGTCACCGCGAAAACGTTTCTGTTGGAATGTTATAAGATGTCCCATTTCAAACCTTTCCTCGTATGATGGTCTAATGCGGCTAAATGTAAGCCGGGTGGCGCGGCCCCAGACAACACACCAAATCACAGAGATATCCGCAGAATAACTTTTGTGGATATCCAATATATGCACAGGATATCAGAAATATTCCGTGGATCTAATATGGATATCCAAATGTCCGTCTATATCCAGGATATAGAAGATATCCTAATGGATATTCAGCAAAATATCTAATGGGTATCTTCCAGAAAATACAAGATATCACAGGGATATCCACAGAATATATTTTGTGGATATTCAATATATCCAATATGGATATTGTAGCGCCTCAGTTGCACTACATACGTTAAAATGTCACACACTTTTTAGCTAACCCTTCAATTTGTGGCAGTCCTTGTATGACAAAGGATAAACTCATCTACTAAGCAACTTTGGTTGCTAAGATTTATTATTGACTTTTATATGCAAGACATGTCTTTTTATTATTCGAATTAAATAGATCTTATACGTCTTAGCAAAACTATTTATTTATGATGGGATCCGACATTTTAAAGATCCCACGACGTTTGCCCTAGGTAAAAAAAACTAAGGACAAATTTCCACTAGCATATATGTGTGGGCGCATGTGGACGATTAATCCTTTAGCATACGACAATTGGGACCTCCACATATATGCACATATGTGTGGGCGCATGTGGGCGGTTGCTCCTTTAGCATGCGACAATTGGGACCTCCACATATGTGTGGACCGAGTCTTGTACCTACAAAATGCTACTTGCATGTGTGATTTTGCCTTTGATTTTGCCCACTAAGGAGAAAGTCATCCTTATTAGGACTCTTCAGCAATAAATGAAAATTTTTGTCTCCAGTCTCTAATGGAGTGAATAAACACACATTTTGATCGAACTCAATTACGGCGGGTCGAGCATGAGTAGATGCGATAGTGGTATCGCCATCTATACTTAGTAAGCAGAATCAAATAACATCTAGTGGATATCCACCAGAGCTGGGACAAATCCTCGAAAAATGGATTCGAATCACGAATCCGAATCACGAGATGTGATTCGAATCACGGATCCAATGTTCGAATCCTTAAAAAAAAAAAAAAGGATTCGAATCAAGTGATTCAATTGTAATTGATAGAAAACATAGAATGGATATAATTATATATTATATTCGTTCAATAGACTAATATCGCCCACATATTTATTTTGTATATCGTGCAAAAATTAGAAAAATAAATAATATACCTACATGGGGATGTAGATGCAGATTTTTTTTTTCACTTACCTGTATTGAGGATCTATATCAGATTATTTGTTAATTCTGTAATCGTGCACAACGCCAAACACATCGGTTTTCTATTCAGTCTCAGTCTGTTCTAGTTTTTAGTTTACAATTCGCGACAAGTCAAAGCTTGAGTTGGCCGTTCGCGCCGGCGTAGTTTGGTCTCTAAAAGGATCCGAGACTGATATTGATGATTCGAATACGAATCCTTTAGGATTTTCTCTGCGAATCCGAATCACGAATCCTTTTTTTCTAAAGTATTCGAATCCCGCTCTCGGATCCTCAAAAAGTATTCGAATCCTGGATTCGAATCCTATGTGATTCGAATCCTCCCCAGCTCTGATATCCACGATGGTTTGCGTTCGCGCCTAGACTTTGATATATTTAGTGGATGTTCATGGGATATTGAATACACCTTAAAAAAAATAATTTTAAATATCTGAACGGTACTATTAGCTACAATGGCGAGCACAATGGCGTAATTTTTTAATAATTTGCTATATAATTACTATTAATTATGAACATTTGTATGTCTATAAATTACATTTCATGGATATAAAATAGATATCTATCATGGACTGGACATTCAGTGGATATTGGGATGTTCAGTAGATATCCAAAGGATTTGGTGTGCTGTCTGGGGCGTTGAACACATTCCAACATTTTTTGGTCGCGTACTAGGTCTGGATACCACACGGGTCCTGCGTATTCTAGGATAGGACGGACGTAGCATTTATAAAGTCTGCACAGCGTTTCAAACGACACTTTTGAGAATGTTTTTTGAATTAGGAATAATCTGGAGTTGGCGCGTTTGCACACATTAGCGATATGATCACTCCACGATAAATTAGAATTCACTGTAACACCTAGATCGTTGTACGAGGACACTCTATTTAATGCATGCATGTTCATTGAATATGGCAACTCCGGATTATTTTTACCAATATAAAGCACAACACATTTGTTTATATTTAGGGGTAAGAGCCAGTCGCAGCAACATGAGTGGAGGTTGTTAAGGTCATTTTGAAGTGCCTGATGGTCGTGAAGAGGGTTGGCAAATATTTTTGTATCATCGCACAGTGGTCCCAAAATTAAAATTTTCGGCCAAAAATACCACAACTGCTGGATTTGTACTAAAACACATATATAGGGGTTTTTAAGGTGTCTAATTACGAATATGACCATAAAATGTCGTTAACAAAGTGTCGGGCTACAATATGGCCGAATTAAAAATAAATATTTGACCTTTTAAATTTTTTTATTTTTAACTGACCTGTAAAATTAACTAAATTAGTGGATTATTAAAGAAAACTAATTTGGGTAAAACTAGTGATAATATATTATAATAATTATTAATATAAGGAACATAAAAAAATACTATATCATAAAAAATTAATTGCACACAATAATCATTCTGAATCACTACTAACAGTTAACTCGGTTTCAGTTTCAGAGTCACTATCTACATCTCCGTCAAGTCTTAATTGATCTTGAGAACCGCTGGCTATAAGCATCTGGGGAAAATTGTTTTAATTTTTTCTTTGGAAGCTTTCTAATGCTTGAAATATAGGGGTCAGAAGATACAAGCAGTCTATTAAAAATATCTTCCATTGTTTTCACTCTTGAAAATTTTCGAGAAAAATCGGCACGATACGTTTTTAGGTCTTTGTTTCTTGCCTCCTGGGCTTCCTCAGATAATTGTCCAATAGGTAATAAAGCATTTTCTATGACTTGTTTTCCATGTATTAACACTTTATGAACGGAAGTGGGCATGTAATACCATGGATATAAATTAACAAATAGTTTTGCCGTTTCAATAGAAAAATTTTCAAACATGTCATAATGAATATCGTAACTACTAGATATTACCTGTAAGATCACATGAAAACGTTTAATTAGTGTCTCGTCAATGCCAGTTATGTTTGCGGAAATTTCAGAATTTTCAAAAAAGCGTCGAGCAGTATTGCCGTCATTGGAACTTCCAAAACCAGGCTTTGGCTTGTCCACTATTAACCCCAAATGCAACCGAAATTCACGTTGGACCTCTTTTTTTCTATTATCAACTGCTTTTTTTTCTTCAGCACTTCGTGCTTGCCATTTTTTAATAACCAATTTGTAAGATAAATGCAAGACACACTCAAAGAATCTGATCCATGCATGTAGAGTGGATAGTCCAAATTTAAGATTTTCTTCCAAAACAGGCTTCTTTAAAATTTTACTTGTCATTAAAATCTTTACTAGTTGCTCCACATAAATAACAACGCTGCGATGACTTTGTTCCAGTGATGGCACTGCATACTTTCCCATCGATCATTGTTAGATTCATAATATACGTTATTTTAACACTTTTTTCTCTAAAGGTTCTTTCAAAAGGCAAAAGTGTATTTATCTGGTTTTCAACATGCCTTACTTCAGATTTCGTCAATTCAGTCGTTTCTTGAAGAAATTGCATTCGAAGTGGTCTACAAAATCGTGGAGATGACGTTCTAGGATTCTTCCAAATAATTATATCTTTACCAAGTTTAATATCTGTGTAAAATAACTGCAAAGGAACGACCGATGTAAAAAATATGCTGGCATCAGAAATGCTTTCTCCTTCAAATGTCTGTTTGTACTCACTTTGACCGGAGCTTCCATCACATCCCCATTTGCAAAAAAAATTTAAGTTTTGCAATTCTTTATCAGTCAAAGTGGCAATAACTTCTTCTTGGGTTTGTAGTATACGTTGAGCTGTGTGATTTAATAATTGCTGTAGTTCGACTTCAGAGCTACTTTCCGTAATTTTTATGGAACTCCGAGGAGGATAACATAAATTTTTTGCTTCCAATACTTTCTTATAAGAAGGATAGAGCTTGCAGTTTTGTTCTAAACTTATTAACCGTATACCCTGGTACTGGCTTTTTGAAAGCTTACAATCGATTAATATTGAGAGAGCTCCTTCACTGGTTAAAGGAGTTTCAGTTGTAACCTTAAAACTTTTTCTATATTTTGATGCTCTAGTAGGAGTACAAAGGGCG